GGCCATCGCTAGTAGGTTGGAGGCCATTGCTCTTAGGTTGGAGGCCACCGCTCGTAGGTGGGAGGCCATCGTCTTAGGTTGGAGGCCATCGCTCTTAGGTTGAAGGCCATCAGCAGTAGGTTAGAGGCCATCGCTCTTAGGTTAGGGGCCATGGCTCTTGGGTTGGAGGGCCATCGCTCTTAGGTTGGAGGGCCATCGCTCTTAGAATGGAGGCCATCGCTAGTAGGTTTGAGGCCATCGCTCTTAGGTTGGAGGCCATCACTCTTAGGTTGGGAGCCATTGCTCTTAGGTTGGAGGCCAACGCTCTTAGGTCTTAGGTGGGGGGCCATCGCTCTTAGGTGGGAGGCGATCGCTCTCAGGTTGAAGGTCATCGGCAGTAGGTTGGAGGCCATCCCTAGTAGGCTGGAGGCCATTGCTAGTAGGTTGGAGGCCTAGGTTGGATGGCCATCGCTCGTAGGTTGGAGGCCATCCCTCTTAGGTTGGAGGCCACTACTCTTAGGATTCAGGCCATTGATTGCTCTTAGGTTGGAGGCCAGCATCACTCTTTGGTTGGAGGCCTTCGCTAGATGGCTGGATCTTAGGTTGGAGGCCATTGCTTGTAGGTTAGAGGCCATCGCTAGTATGTTGGTGGCCATTGCTCTTAGGTTGGAGGCCGCCATTGCTCTTCGGTTGGAGGCCATCGCTTGTAGGCTGGAGGCCATCCCTCTTGGGTTGGAGGCCATAGCTAGTAGGTCAGAGGCCGCCATCGCTCTTAGGGTTGGAGGCCATTATTCTTTTGGAGGTCATTGCTAGAATAGGTTGGAGGCCATTGCTCTTAGGCTTGAGGCCGCCATTGCTCTTAGGTTGGAGGTCATCGCTAGTAGGCTGGCCATCCCTCTTGGGTTGGAGGCCATCGCGCTTAGGTTGGAGGCCATCGCTCTTGGGTTAGAGGGCATCGCTCTCAGGTTGGAGGCCATCGCTAGCAGGTTGGAGGCCATTACTCTTAGGTTGGAGGCCATTGCTATTTAGAGCGATGGCCTCCGACCTATAGGGGCACAGAGGTCAAAGACACCTAACCCCAGCTAAACAATTGTTCAAGTACTTGTACAGGTTTCGCATCTGGATGAGGCGCTTATTGTGAAACAGTCTATGTGGCACATGCGACACCAACCCAAAGTCTGTGAGAAATTTGTGAGGTCACCTGCCTCCGCATGGACTTGGAGTCACTCCGCCACGAGATGTCTGCGATGGAGGTGGAGCTGGTGCATGTGAGATCCCAGAATGCTGTTCTTCGGGATGACTTTGATTTGAATGGGCAGGCAGGACGAGCAACACGGGAGAACTAGACGGGAAACAACATGTGAACGGCAAAAAAGGCACAGTCGTGAGGACATGTGAAAGCGGGACGTGGACGCTACTAGGAGCGATCGGACGCTACTAGGTCTCAAAACAGTTTGTGCAAAGGCTTTGGGGTTGCTTGTGACTCCATTGACCGAGGGTTTTTCACCTTCCAGTTGGAACTGGTAAGTCTGAAACGGTATCTTGATCCTTGGGATAGCAAAAAACCAGACAACTCACTAGCGCAATACAGCGGCAGTCTCAAGATGATGCTGTTTAAACCATTCTGGCCTCAAGCAAGCCTGGGACTCCAAAAAAGACATGACGTCTACATGTTTCATGTGAGACAAGCAGCCGTTGTGCAATTTCCAGCTTGAAACTTCCTTTAGCCGTGAAAACATGTCCCCCAAACCTTGATGAATGATGATAAGAAGTTCATTAAAGGAAGGCTCCTCTACTGAAGAATGCTTGACTTGCACAGGGAAGGAGGTCTTGGATAGTTGGGGGTTTGAGGTGAAGGATGGACATTCCGTAAAAGATGCGATTTTTATCAAGGAAAAGGTCTTGACAATATGATCAAATCAGAAGTTTTCTGTTCAGAAGAATCCATATTTCAGAAATGCATTCTTTTACCTAGGGTGCATAAAGCACCACATACTCACGAGGACAGTACGATACTTGGTAAGTCAATAAACTCTTATAGAAAACTAGTAAGGACAGGTTACAGAACTTGAGCTCCTATAGGCGAACAAGTACTTGAACAGTAGATTCACTTGTGTTGTAAATGATCCATTTTGTCAAGGATAGACCCGTACATTACAAAGGAGAAGCCTTCCATCAGAAGAAAGGATCAGGTGAATACCACAAAGGATGAGGCCGTTTTAAAGGATGAGACTGCAATAAAGGCTAGTAGAGGAGTAGGCTTGTTGAAGGATGATTTATGAATGATGACACAGGTTTGTTTCGCAGGAAACTCTTGTAGAGGTGGATACTTCTCCAAGGAAGATATTGAGCAACACAACAGGGTTTCACAATTACAAACAATATTTGTATGAAGGAGGGAGGTTTAACCTGGGATGACACATGTTGTGCTAGGGGACGGGGAAAGCTTTCAAAAGGAGCGTGGCATAGAAGGTATTCATTCTATTTATAGGAGATTACATCCTTGCAAAGAAGAAAACGTTGAGAAAGAAAGAGGGTCAAAGCAAAACAGGAGGCTTTGTGAAGGGGGAAGGTTTTTATATACACATGACGGATAAAACGCTCGTGTTGTAAGGACACTATCATGGACAGCTTCTCGGTAGCGATGGCCAACCAAATAGCGATGGCCTCCAATCTAATAGTGACCAAAGTGGCATGATAGTCTTTCTTCACGGGATCTTTTGTGTGGAGGCTGAAGGACCAGAAGCAGGTACAAGTATCGGGTTACAGTATATGTGTTTTCAAAAAGGGTCAGACTGTACTTCTGAGCTACCTATCTAGGGGCCACAAGTGCTTTATTTCTATTTTCAACAGCAAATTCAATTGCATTGGGTTGCACAGCAAATCAAACAGAGCCTTCGATATCAAAATCTGATTCGAGCTAAGAGTGGTCAGGGGAAGTGCAAGCTTGAGAGCCGGGACCACAGCCGGGGGCACAGTGAGTTGAAACATCTTGAATATATGATATATCCTATGTCACCTACTGCCTTTCTCTTAGGTTGGAGGCCATTGCTATTAGGTTTCTTGCTGCTACTAGTGTATAACATACATACAGAATGTCACGTACTGCCATCTGGGCCAACAAGCGGCTGAGACGTGACATAGGCTTCAGCGAGATCAAGAAGGAGCAGCACAAGGCAATGAAAGAGCTTGGTGCCAATGACATCCTGAAGGCTTTTGATAGTGAGAAGGATATAGAGACGCGCTTTCAAACCGACTTTCAGAAGTTGCTACGTGGAAAGACGACGCTGCTCTGCAGCAGTTTGCCAGATGTCGGAACCAGGAACCCGGTGCTGTATGAGTTGGGTTTTCCCCAAACTCAGCAACACTGCTAACAATTGTCTGTACTAGCCCCCTAGCCCCTTATTGTAATGCTATCTTTTGTATCGACTGGATTGGGGATAGGACCTGCTGCACACACACATGCTGCATCTCAGGTATGCGACAAGCAACACAGACATGGAACATCCAGAAAATGTGCAGCTTAGACACAAGCTGTGCTGATTTCTGTGTACTTTTCAAGTTCTTTTCCCTTGTAGGTTGTTTATGACGGGTTTTGATGTGCTTGATTTTGCATGAATCTGCTGCGTGTGAGGGGAGTTCAGTTGTCAAGAAGAGTGCGATGCTCGATTTGGCTGCAATCAAACCAGTATGAAATTCTGATAGCTCTGCTCCTGTTCGTGAACGTGCTGTGGATGGCTTTTGAGCTTCAGATCTCTGGACAAGTTGCAGGTGCTAAACTTCGAATTTACCAAAACGACTTGGAGCCTTGTCCAAAACCCACTACCGATGACCTCCAACCCAATAGCGACCTCCAACCCAATAGCGATGGCCTCCGACCTAAGAGCGATGGCCTCAAACCTAATAGCGATGGCCTCCAACCTAAGAGCGATGGCCTCAAACCTAAGAGTAGTGGCCTCCAACCTAAGGGCGATGGCCTCCAACCTAGTATATAGCAATGGCCTGCAACCTGATAGCGATGGCCTCCAACCCAAGAGTAGTGGCCTCCAACCTAAGAGCGATGGCCTCCAACCTAGTAGCAATGGCCTGCAACCTAATAGCGATGGCCTCCAACCTAATAGCGATGGCCTCCAACCTAAGAGCGATGGGCTTCAACCTAATAGCCATGGTGGAGGCCTAATAGCGATGGCCTCCAACCTACTAGCCGAACCTAATAGCGATGGCCTCCTACCTAGAAGCAATGGCCTCCAACCTGAGATTAGTGGCCTCCAACCTAGTAGGGATGGCCTCCAACCTACTAGTGAGGAGAATGAGATGGAGTTCTGGCACAATGTGTTCTTGGTTGGCGACGTGATTTTTACAGCCTTCTTTTGTCTCGACGTGACCGTCCGCATTGCTATCATACGGACTCTTGGTTCAATTTGAAACACTGACTTGTAAGAAAGCAAACATGCAGCCTTACCTCTATAATCGTGTGCATTGGAAGGTCAGAGTTCTTCAAGGTGTGTTTGAACTACATTGATGTGGCAGTCAGTGCAACTTCGTTGATTGAAGTGACGGTTTTCTATACGATGACGCTGCCCATCAATCCCATGCTCTTTCGTCTTCTACGGATCGGGAAGCTGGTCCGGGCGGTTCGAATGGTGCACATGACCAACATGCAACTTGCAAGAAGTGAGGACGCTACTAATAACAAAGGGCATTTCTACTAGGAGCAAGGACGCTACTAGTAGCTCCTGGCATTACTGCTAGGAGCAATGTTCGCTACTAGTTTTACACTTTGCAAGACACAACTGTCTCCACGGTGAATAGGGAATGAATTGTGTAGGGTTGATTTTTCAGCCAAGGCTGGCGTCGCTGCAGCTGTTGGTGAAATGCATCTCTGCTAGCCTCAACATGCTATTCTGGAGCGAATCCACATACACTCTGAACGAACACTTTTGAAAGGCCTTTATAGAATACAGAATACAGTTTGTTGAAGCTACTAGTAACAGGTGCCACGCTAGTAGTAACAGGTGCCTTACTAGTAGTAACAATGTTTGTTCCCGTTGGTTTTGCATCAGGTCTGTGGTCTCTTGCGGATTGGACGTGCTGTGTGTTTTGTGTGGCAGGTGCAGCCTGGCCAGATTTCCGTGCCTGTTTTAGCCTGAACTTCTTTCAGGTTTTAAGATATGGTACAATACTGATTAGGTTGGAGGCCATCCCTCTTAGGTTGGATGCCATCGCTCTCAGGTTGGAGGCCATTGCTTTTGGGTTGGAGGCCATCGCTATTAGGTTCCTTTTGCTATTAGATTGGAGGCGATTGCTTCTAGGTTGGAGATCAAGTGCTGGGAAGTGCTTTCGAAAGTATGCCCAATAGAGCTCGTGTGGTTTCAATCCTGTTGAGTTCAGTGGAGCTGTTGAGCCTCGGGTATCCTTCTCCGTAATCCGCAGTCTTGTCACACAAGAGGTCCTTCAGAGCCGTGGTCAACTTGGCACGGTGCATGGTACTAGTAGCGAACATTGTTACTACTAGTAAGGCACCTGTTACTACTAGCGTGGCACTTGTTTCTACTAGCTTCTTGTTACTACTAGTAAGGCACTTGTTACTAGAAGCGATGCACTTGTTCCTAGTAGCTTCTTGCTCCTAGTAGCGATGCCCTTTGCTCCTAGTAGATTCTTGCTCCTAGTAGCGATGCCAGGAGCCCCTAGTAGCGTCCTTCTTTGTATACGATAATGCCACCTTTGACCGAACCTTTCGCATCTGAACATGTCTTGTTGCAAGGTCTGAGCGCTCAGAGTGTAATCTCAGACGCATTCGTCCGATGGAACACAAGCCCTTGGTGCAACATTTCTCGCTTGTAGCTTTCGTTGAAATAAGTAGGAGCTAGAAGCTACTAGTAACAAGTGCATCGCTACTAGTGACAAGGACATTACTACTAACTACTCGTAGCAGGAAGCTTACACTTTCCCGAACACGTTTCACACAATGAAGGAATAAAGTGGCTTCTAGGTTGGAGGCCATTGGAGGGCAACGCTAGTGGCTGGAGGCCATCGCTCTAGAGAACTTTTGCTCAAAAGGTTCTGCTCGCAGGCTCCACGCAGACATGAGTGGAGCACGAATAAGCACACCATCGACTTCCAGGAACCCTACTTCTAAACGTCTTCTCAAATAGCAAATAACAATGGCCTCCAACCTACTAGCGATGACCTACTAGAAGCAAGGGCACATGGAGGGGGTTTCCCATGCGCTACAAAATCAAGGGGCGCAACTGTCTTCACAGCAGTCAAGGAACTTGTCTGGTTACCAAAATGTCCATGTGCTTCTGTTCGCTGTGTTTGAACTTGTTCCGCGAGTTCTACATTTGCTGGACTGCTACCGTAGATCTTGTTTGATGTGATCTTTTCGGTTAGAATCTACGCAGGAGTTTTTGCTTGCTGGTCTTCTTTCAGTGCGTGGCTGGGTTGATGATCAGTACACTCTGTCGCGACTTCATCAACGATCCGACTCAAGATTCTCAGATGAGGGAGGAGGTTTTTTTGCAGCTTGCAAGCACGAAGGCAACATGTACTGAATCAACAAGTAGCGTAGTATCTCGCTACTAGAAACAAGGGCATCGCTACTAGCAGCTAGAAGCCACTAGTAGCAAGAGCAACCATGTGATATTTATTGTCTTTCCACCTCGGACGCTGACTGCAGGTACTACGGAACCTTCACCAGAACATTCCTTACAATGTTTGTCACTTGGGCGAGAATGACATCTCGGGAACATGATGAAATGTTTAGTAGTAATGGCCTCCAACCTACTAGAGACGGCCTCCACCCTAGTCGCGATGGCCTCCAACCTAGTAGCTATTTGCTACTAGTAGTACATGCAATGTGAGGAAATCTTATTTGCAAATTGGGGGCCTTCTTGCCGGATCCTGGTTGAGTCGATCAGCGAATGGTTCCTCGGTGTCAAGACTTGGAAACACAACGCTATCATTGCGAAATTTGTCTCAAACGAACACCTCCATATCATTGGCCACCTCTATAAGCTCCATGTTCCCGTAGGGGTGGCATTGATCCATTTCAGGTTCTGGAAGAAAGCCGTTTTGCAGGTTTTGTCAATCTTTGCAACGCAAGCAAAACGTATATCAGGCAACCAGGAATGTAGCGCGTGTCGCGGTTTCCTGTTGCTTTTTAAACTCCACAGGTTTACGCTCTTTTTCTTGCTCTATCGCTGTGTCCTTGGCTTTGCCGCCACTTGGACAAGATGAGATCGGCATGGGGGACGTCTTACATATCGTAGCGTATCGCTATGTGCACATTTGTTTTTGTTTTTTGCAAACTTGGAAAAGAATACTGTGACAAGTTCACGTTTAGATTGGAGGCCATCGCCTCTAAACGTTCATAGACATCTTTGCCCAGGTCTTGAATGTGGTGAACTCTGCGCCTCAGAAGGAAAGATACAAATTGACCAACTGTCAACACGCCGCAGTTGGACTTTCAGGTCTTTGTCCAGCAGACCATGAAGACAGCGAGCTCTGATGAGGAGCTGGCCTTCAAACAGAAAGAGAAGGACTGAAAATTTTCTTCCTTTTCTTTTTCTTTGTTTCTAAATAGCGATGGCCTCCAACCTACTGGTCAACCTACTAGCGATGGCCTCCAACCTACTGGTGATGGCCTCCAACCTACTAGCCATGGCCTCCAACCTACTGGTGATGGCATCCAACCTACTAGCGATGGCCTCCAACATACGGGTGATGGCCTCCAACCTACTAGCGACGGCCTTTAACCTACTGGTGATGGCCTCCAACCCACTAGCGATGGCCTCCAACCTTAATAGCGATGGCCTTCAACCCAAGAGCGATGGCCTCCAACCTACTAGCCATGGCCTCCAACCTACTAGCCATGGCCTCCAACCTACTAGGGATGGCCTCGAACCTAGTAGCGATGATGGCCTCCACCCTACCAGCACTGATGGCCTCCAATCTATTACGACGGTCTGACACACCTGCCGCAAACTTTATCCATGATCACTTCTCCCAGTGCGCGTTGCTTTGGCTAGCGGTGTTGCTATCAGCCGACAATGAAGCTTTGGTAACAAGGTTTTGGCAGTATATTTGAAGCTGTCACGTGATTGCTTTCGGAAACTGTTAGAAGAATCCATTTGCAGCATGAACACTTGACTTGAACCGCGGGCTCACAGTGGCCCAAAGCCGTTTGATGGAATACGGGCGATTCCGGTGCGTTTGTTTTTCTTTCATGGTAGCGGAGCCGGCCAAAGCGCCGGCTCCCGCGGTCCCGCAGCGCTTGACATGGCGGCGCGGCTTTTGTGTGCAGCTGGCCTGGATCTTGATGGCGGCGATCAGCGCTTGCAGTGATGACATGGACGACTTCATCTACAAGCAGGAGCGCGTTGACTACATCGACTACAAGTTCTGCGACTGCGAGATCCAGCAGAAGGAGGTGGTGAAGGACTTCAAGGTGTTGAGTGAGGATGGGAACCTCAGCTTTGGCTGGTTGGATGACAGCCTGGCAAAAGTCGGGGATGGTTCCTTGTGGTTGGCAAGGGGCTTGGGGTGGAGCCTGAGCGATGTCTTCGAATTCCAACAAGTCGGGGATTGGAAGCCGGACTTTGAAGAGCTCTTTGGCCAGCGCGTGGACTATATGAGAGATTGGAGAACGTGACCAACTATGACATGATCTTCGGCATCAATCCAACCTATGTCCTGGTGAATTTGGATTGGTTTGCAAAAGTATCTACATTTTTGAATTCGACGGGCACGCGATTCTGAAGGTGGTCTCTGTGCTTCTGGCTGGACTAGCCGGTGTTTTGGTGATCCAGCAGAAGAAGAAGAAGAAGAAGAAGAAGAAGAAGAAGAAAGAGCCGAAGTTGATCACGGGCCACTTGAGCTATAGCAAGAAGAGAAGATGGATTGGCAGCAGTTGAAGGAGATTTGAGTGGCGCCTACAACTGAAGACAATGATGCTGCTCACACTTTGGACCAGTGCCAATGCCATGCTGAACAAGCTCGCCAGATGTTCATGAAGATGGCGCAGATGACTGGAGGTGGCAACCATGGCGCAGAAGATGGACAAGAGGAAGGACTCTGGCAGCGTTGGACAAGCAAGCAAAGTACTTAAGATCCCTGACAGATACGAAGGAGACGATCCCTTGAGGTACGCAGCTAGGAAGGAGCATCTTACCATTTGGCTGACATATGGAGACCATCGCTTTGCTGGTCTACTCCGCGATGTAGAAGCCATTGATGAAAATTGCCAGTTGTCTATTTTGCTCCGGAAGATGTGAAGGAATTGGCGCATCGTCTGTTCGCCATTTTGGCGTCTTACATCAAACAAAGGCCCAGCCCTCCAGTTCATTCGAGCTGAGTCGACTGAAAAGAATGGTTTCTTGGTTTGGCAGCAACTCAAGAACATCTACATACCAAAGGCCAGACCACGTATCATGGCTATTGGGCAAGCGACCATGGGTTCCCTGACAAGAAGAGCATGATGGAGAATTTGCTTCAGTTGGACTTCTTGCTGGATCAGGCCGAGCTATGCCAGATGATTTGGTGGCGTCCGCTGTTTCGAGGTGCGTGGATGCCAATGTCAGAAAGCACCATGAACTGACCATGGATGATTCCTTCGACTACCAGCAGTTGAAAGCGCCTCATCGCGATGGACAAGAATGCTCGAGTTTGTCTGGAGACACTTACTTGAAGCTGGTGCAAAACTCGATGAGTGCTTCGAGCTCTACTGGACCAGTGCCGATGGATGCCGATCAAGTTGGACAAGTTGCGAAAGGTAACAACAAAGGAAAACAGAAAGGCAAAGACAAGAAAGGAGGTGGCTGGTTTCCATATGGCTATGGTGGCAAATATGGTGGTAAGAATTCCAAAGGGCAAGAAAGGAAAAGGAAACCAGCAAAATGGCAAGGGCAAAGGTGGCGGCCAAGATCGCAATACACATCGTGTGCGCGGACAACAAGGCTATTGGGGCGAGAGTTCAAAGCGCAATGGAACTCAGACTGTCACTAATCAGACCCAGAATGCCAACAGCGTTGCCGAAAGTGAGACTGCCAGCTCAACAGGTGGAAAGGCGAGAAGTGTCTTTTTGAGACAAAGCCACAAGTGAGACAAGTTTGCGTGTACCACGCTGCTACCCACCAATGACAACACGCCAATGATGTTTGACGACGAGAGCGAAGGAGGAGATAGCTGGTTGCTCAATGATAGCTACCAGATCAACACCGTCTACTCTGTCATGGACGATGAATCGGACCATGAAGAGCTAGAGAACCCCTATGACAAGACATGGTGGTGGTACATGGATGTTCGCTCATGAGATCGAGGTGAGGCGTGGAGACCTTTTGTATCTGCGCTGTCAAGAGAGCATTCAACGTACTCTGATTGCGCTGGATTCTGGATCTGACATTAGTCTTCTTCCACAGTCAACGGCTCATCATGGGAAGCAAAGCAAACCGGGCAGGCCGTTTTGGATGATGCTCAAGGAGCTCACATTGAATGCGACGGTGAGAAGGAGACGGTGATGATTGAAGATGACTTCGTGGTGGCTTCAGTGCAATCCCCTTTGATTAGTCTTGGACGGCTTCTTCAGTGTGGCAGTGGTGAAGCAGGTGTGCAGATATAGAATACTCAATTCCCTTGCACTCCAAGCGAAACTCTCTAGCCTTGTATGGTGGTATTGGCCGTGTGACCCATGAACCAAATGAGCTTCGACAGGTCTATGACGACAATCCTTGGTTGTGAAGCTGCGTGATAGCTTTTGGGAGCACTATGGGCTTAGAGCATGGAAGAAGGCAATCCTGTGACGTTCAGCTGTGAGACCAAGAACTTCATTGATGGCCAGCTCATGTGGAATTTGAATTGGTGGCTTCTTCGCACGACTTTGATCAGGAAGATGGACAAAGCTTGGGAGTTGGTGGAACATTGCAGCCGATACTACGCACTCACGATCCTTCACAGGAAGAAGGAGCCTATCAGCTTCTTTGGCACCTTGGTAGGAGAAAAGACTGTCACGGTAGGTGGAGGTCAGGTTGATGAGGAGAGTTTTCAATTTGCAGCAGGACCAGCAGTTCCTTTGCAGCTCAATCCGGAGCATGAGGAGACACCAGAAGAAGACATCTACCCTTCTTTGAGAATCCTGAGATGCTTGTGGTCAATGTTGCTGATCTGCAAGAGACAAGTTCATTGGCGGTGCTGAGAGAAGCAGCTGAATACCTGGGCATTGGAAGACCTGTGGACACATTTGAACCAACAAGTGCAGAAGTTAGAGCAGAACCAGGAGCACTTTGTGACTGCCAACAGGTTGTTTCGCGAAAACCAACGCAAAGGATTGGGATCCCGCCAGGTACCACGACAGCCGACAGAAGAAGAACGGCAGCTGCGTGAACTTACCCATGTACCTTTTTGCGCTTGGTGCGATTTCTGCATAGCGTGCACACCGCCCACTTGATCAATCAGATGAAGGTCGAAGAGCCGTACCAGCAATCCAATTGGATTTTGCCTTTGGCCGTTCACGGCCAGATGAGACAGCCCCTCAGAAAGACCTTGTGACAGTTTTGGTGGGTGTGGACGCTGAAACAAGAATGATGTTAGCTGTGCCAGTTGCATGATTTGAGAAACCAGGCTGAACACGTGGCGCGGTTCAGTCTGTTTTTGAACCAGTATGGCAATGTCGAGATCTTCGGAGACAGCAAGCCTACCGTGAAGGCGCTGTTGAGCTATGTGAAGACTCTATGTCGAGGCTAGGCCTCGAGACCACGATTACCTTCAGCGTGAAGAAAGGCAGACAGGCCGAGTTGAAAGCGGCGTCCAAACCCTACGAAAACAGACGTCGACCTTGATGGGTATGTTGCAGCGCAAGTGCGTGATCAATTTGGCAGGTACATGTTGCCTGGATTTTGAATGGGTTTGCGTCCCATCGTTTTCTCCAAGCTTCCTTCACCTTATGAGATTGCTTTTGGCCCAAGATACTGTGGGAAAGTGGTGTGCTTTGGAAAGTATGTCATGGTTCTCAACAAGCAGCCAGGTGCAAAGCAGGGTCCACAGTGGTTGCCTGGTGTTCGGGTTTGAAAGACTCATGAATATGATCTTCATTTGGTCATTGGCAATTCTGGTTTGAGAGGAAAAGAACGACCTTATCGAAATCCTCATGCCCGGCGACCTTTCAAGTTGATCCTCGCCACTCCCACGATTCCCCGTGAAGTTCGAGGACCTGGACGCGCTTAGAGTGTTGGCAATGCAGACGGCGGATTGCAGACACCCATGAAGTTGGCAATCGAAGACCCACGCAACGCCAGAAGAGGTGAAGAACTCTTGGGTGGTAGTGCAGCAACTGAGCCTCAAGCAATGGCAGCCAAGACCGATCCAGCAAGTAGTCCCTCAAGCTTGCGCGCACCTTACTTTGCTGGTGGTGTTCAACAAGTACAACATCCAATGAACGACGACCCTTGGGAGGAGGAGATGGAGTCTTATATGGACCACGAAGATACTCAGACATCGGCGCGTTGGACGAAGGATGCCCTCCAGAAGTTAAAGCCCAGCCATAGAGGAGGCTGCTGGACAAGAGGAGATTCAAAGGTTGCTGAAGACGGGGGTTGTGAGTTGTGCGAGGCGGAGGATACTGATGGCCCAGAGATATTTGGAGACCTTCACTGACAGTGACTAGGCAGGTGACAAGAGCAGCGACGCAGTATAAGCTCTGCCCACATGTTAATGGATGCGAGCATTGCTCTGAGCTGCTGTGAAGCTGAATTTCTGGGAGTTGGACGGCTCAAGCACATCAACGTCAAGTACCTTTGGATGCGGTTGGAGGTGAAGAAGAAACCCTGGTGATGGAATGTGTTCCAACTTTTCTGAGCGTCTCAGATTTGGGAACCAAACTTCTTAGCTGACAGCGTCGTGAATTCCTGATGTACCTGATTGGCATCGTGCGCATGAACGCAGAAGGAAAGGGCGAAGTGCTTGCAAAAGTTGGAGAAGACACCTTTCACAGAGAACTTGAAAAGAAGATGTTGGCAAAGAAGATGAAGGAGGTGAAGAAGGAGATGGTGCAAGCAGTGTTTGCCAATGATGAGAACTGGGGAGTGAAGATTCCGACAAACCTGGTGAGCCTTCAAGATTGCAGTGGCCCACACCATGTTTGCGCACCTTCGGCGTCTTTATTAGCTGCGCCTACAGAACGAGAACCTCCATTTTCTTCAGAACGTTGAATCGCTTTGGGAGACAAGAGACTACAATGAAGTTGCAATGTGAACAAGACACGCAAGAGCAAGTGGGCATGATTTTGAGGGCAAGCGTGGCAGCTGGAATTGGAGAATGGCAAGTTGAACCCGGGCAGAGACAGTTTGAACCCTTGCAGCGACCAGAACCATCAGAAAGCGCAGAACCAGCCCATGAAGCCGAACCAGAAAAATAGAAGATGGCCAGATTCGGGGAGTCTGAACCAGAGGCAGAAGAGGATTCGATGGAGATGCTTTGATGCGCGCTTGGCCAGCAGAGATGGTCACAGATTGGAACCCTGAGACGGGAATGATGCAAGACTACAGGGTTTTGGAGAACTCCGACAATGCAGACAGTGGAGTGGAGAGAAGTACTTCATGAGCAATCCTTTCGGTCGATACAGGCGGAGATACCGACCTACAAGTTCAGAAAGAAAAGGAATCTGACAATGAACCAAGCCAGGAAGAAGCTCCATGAATGTTGGCTTGGAAGGCAACCCGGAAAGGCTTGAAGGAGTTTGGGCTGATCCACATGGTGAAAGTCCGCCAGTAGGGCTGAAGCCTGAAGAGCAGCCACGAGCAAGGAAATTGAAAGAATCTTGGATTTTCTCCAACCGCCAGATGAAAGAAGTCTTGCGGGTGCGGCTGACTTCAACCTAGCTCTTCTACTATGACATGGTGTTTGACCACCTATAGGGGTGGACAGAAGAAGAGTTGCGAGATTTCGCCGCCTTTTGCGTGGCATTGTTGAGCGGGCAATGGGAAGATGACTTTGAAGGTCATGTACAGCGCCATCTCGATAGCGGAGAAGTTTTTGGCGAAAAAGATGCGATTTAAACCCACAGCATCGCGCTTTTTTGGTGGAGTGTTAGAAACTTCCACTTGCAGCGTGAACACTTGACTTGAACCGCGGGCTCACAGTGGCCCAAAGCCGTGTGATGAAACACGTGCAATTCCGGTGCGTTTGTTTTTCTTTCAGAAACACAAACCCTGCACTGTTGTAAAGATTAGTTCACTCACAAAGTGATCAACGCGACGAAGTTTGCCAGGACGTTGCCCAATACATGCGGAAGGTGAAGAAGCTTTTCCAAACTATGGATGCGTCCGGTGATGGTTCCATCAACCTTGAAGAGTTCTCCAAGCTGGTCAAATCGCCTAAGTTGAAGTACTTCGGCTACTGGTAGTGGAAGATGTGCAGGAACAGAAACAGAGAGGTCATAAGGGTCGTAGGAGAAAAACAATCGAAATCACCAGAGAGACTTTAACAGCAAACGCGTGTTGAGCAAAGATAGGGACAACACTATTGACAAACCCAATCCCTCCCTCACTCTGCTGCACACACATGATACAGCCACGGTTGTATTACCGTCGCTGCCTTACAGGACATCACGGTAGCATTCATCGCCTGACGCACTGCGTGACACGTTGCGTGGCCGCGGCAAGTTGATGGCTTGGAACACCAGCCCTTCTTGATATGTGCCATGCCGGGAAGTGTCATTATAGGGCCTCTGGCCTCAAACCCGCAAGTATGAACTTGAGACCCAAGACGCGTGTAGGTTTTGGGCCTCTGAAAAAGGGCTCGATGAACACTTATTTGTTTTCACCGAGAACATTTTGGAGCTGAACCGGCAAAACTACCAGATGAATCGCCTGGTTACGATTGCTGGGTCGCAATGCCTGCTGCTATGCACCGAACCCTGTTAGGTACAGCTAGGCAAACTCCCAATGTGACATGCGTGGATGAGAAAAGTAGCGTCTAACTTGCTGGACAAGTTGGAAAACTGTTGCTGCGAGGGACACGGGGCAAACTCCGTCTTCGAAACCGCCACGTGTCCAGTCGACATTCAAGGTGGGCGCCGCTGCGTGGCGTGAGTGCGCTCAAAATGCTTCCGGATTGCGCATCCTCAAGCTGCAGAGGGAGAACCCTGAATCCAGTTCATCCCAAACGGTGTTGCAGCGTGCTGGGACACATGCTTTAGACAGTTCATGGAGCAAGATCGCTGACAACTACAGCTGAACCTTGAGCCTCAGCAAACCTGCTTCCCCCGACATGACAACCGTTTCACGGCAGCCCTGAAGCTGACGCCCGCCCTTGTTCTTCCATAAAACAATGTGCGTTTATGAGACATCGCGTCGAAGAGAAGAGCCCCTTGCAAATGTTTGACTCGGCGCAGCGTGAGAATCACAAGCGCAACCAACATCAACGCGTTTCAGTGACCATCAGCGCACGCCTTCGCGTCACCTTTCATTACTTGACAAAGCAGCCCGCCGCTTCGCCCGACGAACGCGTTTCTGTCATTTGAATCATTTGCGCGATAATAATTTGGAGGCCGTTGCCATTAGGCTGGAGGCCATTGCTATTAGTAACAAGAAGCTACTAGTAACGAAGGGCATCGCTACTAGGAACAAGGATGCTACTAGTAGCTCCTGGCCTTACTACTAGTAACAAGAAGCTACTAGTAATTCAAAAGAAGAGTTCAATCTTTTTTCCCGCCAGGTCCACAGGTTGCTTTTCGAATGTTTGAAGTGTGTGGCTTTGTGCTTTGCAGGTTTTGGATGAGCCAGTTGGAGCTGGAGTACCACGACTTGCTGAGTTTGTTTGAGTTCCTGGACAATGGAGATGGTGAGATCACGCGCCTTAACTTGACCATGGGTATCGACCAAACCTTGCAATCGTCTGCTTTTTACGATTGACCACTAATGACCAATATTGTTGGGTGGTGTCCGCAGGCAACTACGCTAATGCACCTTCTTCCCGTTCCAAAATATGTATAAATTTGTCAGGTGGCTTGGGAGCCTGGTTCACGAAGGGATTTGGGCGCTTGCCCACGACCGTAAAGTGACACCTGCATCAACAAATCTTTGGGTGGGTGCATCAAGATGTATAAAAACCCGAATTTGCGATTGCGTGGACGCCCGGCCGGCTATAGCCTGGCCTCGGCGTCGTGGGCCCGAACCGGTACGAAATCCACACAGCTTGGCATCATGGGTTTTCCTCATGACGCTACTTGGTACCACAGGCGCAGCCTCAGTGCCCGAAGACGCACCGCTATGGAATTTGGCGTGGATCCTAGTTCTGGGGACGAACAGCTTGGGGAAGGGATTCATCATCGCGAAATTCACCGCCAAAGGTGGAACCCGCGGGTCAAACCACAAAAACACAAAAACCGTATATACATGCATGCGTTTTCACCGCCCTGTTTGTTTACAAGCAAGGCGCGTTGGACGCGCCTGCGTCTCAGCGCCCCACATGCGGCGCCGACGTTGCGCCAGCAAACTGCGCAGAATGAATCCTTTTAGAGTCAGGGGCCCCCATAGCGATTACGCCGGCCACGTAGTCCACGGGTGAATTCACACCTTTTGTATTCTATCTGGGTACCAGCAACTCCGTTGGGATCACCATATCCAGGTCCACCTCCGAAATCAAGCAACAGCTTCGCAGAGCCTCGCTGAAGATTGCCTAACATACAGCAGACCTGGGCAGCCGGCTCAGCCGCCACCAAGCGCAAGCGGTTGGAAAAACACAACGCTCAGCCGACCACACACTGGCACATGCCTTGACGCAAGTGCTCCAGCAATGGCAGAGGCAAGGAGCCAACGCCAAACACACACCAGCTTCGCCAACCAGCTCCTGGCTCTCCTTAGAATGCCAAACCGAGCAAGCATACTAGCAGCCCACAACAGCAGCAGGCGATGGCGCCGATGTGGCCAGGATCAATCACGCGCCTCGTGTCACACGAATGAACTAGAGCGCTTACATTGGGCAACAGCGCCAAAATCCTACCGCCTCCATGGACCAGCCAAAAAGTTCAAATCAGCTACTCCGGCGCCGCGGACAAGCCGTAGAAGGTGTCACCCTGTTCGCTCTGGGTACCGAAAGGAAAAACAATTTGCCTTCAAAGCCAGGGCAAAGTGCCAGGACTTGAGGTTCGGACCAAGATTTGGTCCCAATGCCAACGCCACAAGAAGGCTCAACGACCCGATGAAGCGTCGGAAGGCTCAGTCACCGGCAAATTCCACAGAAGCCAATGGCGCGAAACCATGACGGGTCGTGTGCTCGGAGCGGTTCGTGTGGGTGAAGACGACCTCCGGGACCTCCAGCTCACCGTGCCGGCCACAAGATCAGGGTTGCTTCTTGGAACATGAATTCCTTTCGTAACCACTTCTCTGCCGTCCGCAAAATCATTCGCAAGTCCAAAGCTCTACAAGAAACCGGCGTCATCATTGCAGGTTTTCCGTTTGCCACTAATCTGTGTTCCAGGTATGGATGGCAAGCAGTCTGGGTTCCGCGGACTGGCTATTTTAGCCCAGGCACATGTCTGGGGCCAACTTTTGACGTGTGAATTGCCTGGCCTTGCATCGCCGGTTACCCTCGCATGTGGGTACCGACGACCGGGTGCCGACGCTCGGGAACTTTTTCAACAACTCCGTACCAGTTTTTGTAAAACTCAACACAAACACGGGATACCCCTTTGACCGCCAAACTGCTTTCGTCCAACTTCTCAATGATCTGAATGAAGTCGGAGAGCATTTAGGCGCCCACTCTGGTCGCCTACAAAGTTCTAAGCCTATATACAGACGGTGGTTGGATTCCGGCTAGCTTGCGCAAGTACGTTGCAAGCGCGGAGTGGCTGCACAGGTTTGGCGCGCCTAAGCGCGCTCGGGGTGGCGGTCCGCGAGGACCGTGGCTCACGTGTTCGAGGCTGTAGAGAACATCGAAATTCGAGGTGCGGGGCCACGCCAGAATGGTTTCCAGCATGTCGATTGGCGGTCGGCGATCACAGCTCAGGATCGGACAGGTCCAAAACTCGTGGTGTCTATCTGGACTGGGCTGGCGACACCAACGACAAGGATCAACAGATCTCTGGGAGGTGACCTGAAGCCGTGCTTGTGAGATGTAGTAGAGCTTGAAATGGAGCCTTCTCCTACCCCACAGCCACGGGCCTTGCCATTGCGGCGGCGCCCTCGTACTCTAGGTTGGCTGCAGCCAGAGAGCTTAACCCACTGCGGATCTTAATGGCCCGGATCTACGGATCCACAAAGATCAACAGCGGAGCTTTGTTCCGTTTGCTTTCGGGTCATGCAGGGGACCCTTACTTCAGAGTCAGTCACACCGTGACCAAGCACGCACTCACAGCGGCAGCAACACAACACAGCTTGCGAGACATGTGGCCGTCTCAGCAAACCCAAGGACCCATCAACGTCACCAAGCACTGGCTCCGACGACACGGTTGGACTTGCAAAGGACCTTGGCGCTGGCAACGCAGCCAGGCGCAACTTACCCTCAATTTGTCCGGCGTTGATGATGACCGTTCACCTCCGGACGTTGTTTTCAACCTCCGCAACTACAATGTTGACCTTTTGGACCACCACCTCCGAGATGCTTGGCGGGCTCACCAATGGGCCTCCTTCCTTAAGTCAGCTAACAGAGCCGCAGCGCAGCCCTGGTCAGCAAAGCCTGGCGCAACGCGCCAACGCACCTGAAATCACATGTCAAGGCCCTGCCTATAGGGCACTACATTTCACAAGCGCGGCTTCAGGTGACCTCTGAGAGACCTGTTGATCCTTGTCGTTGGTGCCACCAACCCAGTCCTGATAGACACCACGAGCTTTGGACCTGTCCAATACTGAGCTGTGACCGCCGACCGCCAATCAACATGCTGGCGTGGCCCCACGCGTCGAATTTTGACGTTCTCTACAGCCTCGCGAACCCGCGAGCCACGGTCCTGGCGGACCGCCGCCCCGAGCGCGCTTAGGCGCGCCAAACCTGTGCAGCCACTCCGCGCTTGGGCGCGGCGCACCAGCCTCTGACATTATCTGCCTCAGCTATCTAAATGCATCAGCAGCAATCTCAGCCCGCTCCACTGGTGCGAAAGATCTTTCCCAGTCGCAAGATCCGCAAGCGTGAGGTGTCTGATCGTGGATGGTTGGTATGACTGGCAATGCCCAGTTTGCTCGGAGAACTTCCGAGTCAAAGGCCATAACAACGGTCAGTACTACAAAAATAAGCACCTGAAGATGATCCACCAGCAATCTCACTCTTCGTTGCCACCTCCGGGCCAAGCAAATGCAGCAAATGGTCTCAGCTGAGGATCAGCGCGACCTGGTCCACATCCAGTCAGCCGGCCTCACATCTTGCGCCCGAAAAGGGTCGACAAACGGCGTGTACCATCAGATTTGCACTTCCACCACCATCCCGGCCATGCGAGCCAAATGGTGGTCCAAACTGTCCTGCGACCAAAAGCAACTGTTGGCATCCAAGCTCGGCTTCTCCCTCTCAGACTGGGATCATCGATTTCTTCAAAAGATCCAAGCCAAGCGTAAAGGATACCCATGCCAAGGTTCGGCCAAAAACCTCGAGGCCCAGCATTCAATATCGCAAAAGGATCTCAGATCAGCGCAAAGCCTGGCGTGAAACCCATGCCATCGCAGCCAATGCCTCCCAGGCTTGTGGCGCGGTCAATGGCACCAGTTCTTTTCCAACCTGCTTTGCCGCTGCACTTAAACAAAGCACGAAAATCATCCCTGGATTCGTCCCTTTCAGCTCTCAACGGTGCCTCGGCTATCCAGCCATCCGCGCCTCCCTCCAGCAGCTATTCGACTTCTTCCTCGCTCTCCGCGCCTCCTCCCTTGCCCGTGTGGGGCGTCCGCAACTTCGAAGGGTCGGGGAGGTCAGCGCAGTGCGGGATCCTTCGCGCTGGGGGAGCATACGCTGGCTCCGTTCTCTCGATCCGCGTCCAGCACCATCTCTCCGACGCGACCGATCTCAGACCCTTTTGCCCGCCTCGCGTTCCTTTGCATAGGCGGCGGCCTCGGTCTTGGATTTGGACCATGGGGGCGACTGCCACTGCGATGGGTCGGAGGGTCCTGGCTCGGCCCACGTTCTCCCTTCGGCTCTCTACCGGCGATCTGCATCTTCTCGGTTCGGCCACCTCCATATCCTTCAGCGCAACATCGACTCTGGGTTCCGCCGTGGCGATGACTTTTCTTGAGCTTGCAACCTCCGTTCAAGCCTCCATCATCTTGCTCCAGGAAACATTGCTCTCTCCTTTGGGAGCCACTCAATTGGCCAACAAACTCTGGCAGTTTTTCCATCAAAGCGGTCGCCGCAATCACGATGTTTACACCGGTGGCGTGGCCATTCTCGTCCGGCGCGACCTTACTTGCGCCTTTGTCGCTTCTAACACCGGCAATTATGGCGAGTGGATTTCGGTCGCTGTTCACAACTTCTTCATTACATCAGCGTATCGCCGCAACAACCTCTCGCAAGAGCAAACGCATACTTGGAATTTGCGCCTCACAGATCATCTTGCTTCTCTGCCGGCACGCCCCTGGCTCGTGGGCGGAGACTTCAATCACCTGCCTCAAGAAGACGTGCTTTGGCCTTACAGCGCTCTATACTCTCCGCTCAGGTGATTTATCAGGCCCAATTTGGCCACTGCTCCTGAGGATGTTCCTTTCCCAGGTCTCCACCCGGTGGGCTTCTGGTCGCTGCGTTGATTGGTCGCTTCAGCGGGACCTCCATGTCCCACCTTTTCACCGACAAGAGAAGTTCAGCGATGGCAAAATTCTTCAGGATCTTGATCTACCTTCACAGCTACCTGCTGCACCACTTTGTCAAGACCAAACTACTCTCGCACAGGCTTGATTCAAGATGTGGGAAGAGACTTGAGAACTCACTCTAAACTTGGCGT